GGGCTGGGGCAGGCTGGGATTCAGCCGCATGCCTCACTGTGCCCTTTAGTCTGCCCACCCTGCTCCTCCCCAAATGCTCTGGAAGAAGATGCCGGAGCCCTTAGGAAGAGGACCAAGGGAACCCTACCCGGGAAGGGGCGAGCTCTTTCAATTGCGCCAAGGACCAGTGCCTCATTTTACAAATTCTGAGATCTGATCAGTCACACAGTCTCCTTGTTTATAGCACACCCCCAGGGGGCTCTGAGAACACAGCCTCTGGGCCAATCCACAGGCAGAACTGCTTAGAATGGAGAGGGCAGAAAAGGAAAACTGTCTAATCAGCTACTGTTGCCCCAAGAGCCTATGATCTGGAGATTTTGAACAAGTCACATCATTTATTCAGGCTGTTACACCCCCACACACACACTGTACAACAGGGACGGTGATGGCTGACCCAAGGCCCACACGGTGATACTGAGGGCTGCAGGGACAGGAGCTGTGATTGCCCTTCCTGAATGGCTAGAGTGGGGAGTGAGTGGGCAGAGGTAGGGGTGGGGCATGCAGGAAAGGGGTCTGAGTTCTGCCTGCCATGCATGGCTCATACTGGCTTTGCCTCCCTGCTTCCCCAGGACTACAGATTGAACACAGGAAGGGGCTGGGGATTTAGCTCAGCAGCACAGCACCTGCCTGGCAAGCGCAAGGTCATGAGTTCAATTCCCGGTACCGGAAAACAAAACAAAACAAAAAAACAAACAAAAAAAAGATCAAACACAGGAGTGCTCTACCACGGAGCTACATTCCCAGACCTTTTTAGAGATAGGGTCTCACTAAATTTCCCAGTCTGGCTTCCAATTTGGGATCCTCCTGCCTCACCCTCCAAAGTAGCTGGGATTACAGGCTAGGATTACAGCTGAGATTACAGTAGCTGCCCCACTGGCTCTGACTTTTCTTATGCCTGAAGGTATGTATTGCACATAGCAAAAGCTGAAATCCAGAAGCCACTGGGTGGTAACAGGTAACTTCCTTTCTTGGCCTTATCCTTGGCCTTGGAGGCTGCCTGGAGCACCAAATGCTCTGGAGGTTCAGTGGCTTTTTTTTTTTTTTTCTGGTACTGAGGATTGAACCCAGTGCCTTTGTACTGAGCTACATCCCCAGCCCTTTTTATTTCTTTTTAAATTTTGAGATAGGGCCTCACTAAGTCACTAAATGGCCCAGGCTGATCTCAAACTTGGGACCATCCTGCCTCAGCCCCTGAGAATGCCGAGATTTCAGGTGTTCCCCACTACTCCTCACGATCAGTGACCACTGTAGTGAGCGCCACACCTCATACCCTCCCCTCCTAAGTGGCGCGGTCTGGAAGGGACCTCCTCATGCCTGGCAGACTCCATCCTTATCTGTAAGTCACCCTGGGAGGAAGCTGCCACAGCAGCCCGAACTCACCTTTGGATCTGGGGAGCCCTGGTTGTGTTTAATCTTAGAGCAGTCTCTAGGGAGGGGCTGCCAGCCGGGCACTCCCTGGGGGCAGAGTCACACTGACTGCTCAGTCCCTCTGGGCCTGGATCCAAATTCACCCATCAGTCTGACTACCTCTTGGAACAGTGTGTTCCAGGCATGCAAATGAAGGATTGCTGGGATGAATCCTTCCCAGAAATTAATGTTTGGCATGAAATAGCTCGTGAGGCATAAAGAATAACCACCTGAAAGCTGGAGGGATGCAACGCTGTAACACTGCCAGGGTAGACAGCAGCCCCTTCCCTTGGTCAAGACTAACTGAGGGTGAAAAGCCTCCCCCTGGCTGCAGAACCCAGGAGACAGCCCCATGTATGGACAAGAAAAGTGCAGCGAGGAATGCATAATGATGGCAAATGCTTACCTGGCTCTTGCCCTGCATTAGGTGCTATTCTTCTTTTTTTTTTTTTTTTTTTTTTTTGGTACCAGGAATCGAACTCAGGACCTTGCATTTGACAGGCAGGCGCTTGTGCCACTGAGATATATCCCCGGCCCTAGGCGCTATTCTGACACCTCATAGGAATCTACTTAATCCTCACCAAAATTTATTTAATCCTCACCAACCTATGTCATAGATAGGAGTTCTAGGGGAAGACTGAGAATCAGAGTTTGCTTAACACATTAACAACTGAGCTGTAATTCCTGTCTTGCTACTGGGCATCTACGGGCATGGCTGTCCATCAGGCAGCTTTTTATTAATTTTACTAGTAAAAAGCCCAATAAAAGTGATTAAAGGCCAGGCGTGGTGGTGCACGCCTGTAATCCCAGCACTCGGGAGGCTGAGGCAGGAGGATCATTGCGAGTTCGAGACCAGCCTGGGCTACAAAGTGAGCTCAAGGTCAGCCTGAACTGCTAGTGAGACCCCTGTCTCAAAAAGACCAAAAAAAAAAGTGATTAGACCCAACTGTACCACCAGTGGTACAAGCCACCCAATAGGACAGTCATGCATCTACCCTGGTGGTTCAAGCCAGCAGGAATGTGTTAACTTGCACAAAATCAGAGCAAGTGACGGAAGCCAGGGGAACCAGACAATGTGCCTCTTAGAAAATGTGCACATGAGCTGGGCACAATGGCATATGCCTGCAAACCCAGCCACTCAGGAGGCTGAGGTAAGAGATCAGAAGTTCAAGGCCAGCCTGGGCAACTTAGTGAGGCTCTACCTCAACATAACATGTAAACAGGGCTCCCTCCAGCTGGGATGTAGGTCAGCACTCCCTGGGCACAATCCTCTGGCCTACAAGAGAAGGAAACAGTTGAGCGAATGTGGAAACTGGTGATCAGAGCTAAGTAACTGGCCCAGGCCCACAGGAACGCAAAACCCCGAAAGGCAGCGATTTTTGTCTGTTGAGTTCCCTTCTGCATCCACCGTGCCTACAACAGTGACACACAGTAAGTGCTCACTAATAAAATCCTTGTTGTGTGAATGAATGCGTATGGTTACACACACCATAGTAGTGACCTAGGGATTTGAACCCAGGCCTGGCTTCTGGCTTCACTCCTTTGCTGCTTCCTGTTTTAACCACCCCCTGTGATCCCCCAGCTGGCCCTTCCAGCTGCTCAGAGGGCATCACCCTGCACCATCTGAGATGTCTGGTTCGAGACAAGCAAATCCAGTGGCAGGTAGAACCCGCCTAGATCAGGAAAGTCTACACAGCAAATCCCAAAGCCAGGCCGAGCAGCGTTTCTACTCAGCCACAGCCTTCCCTCACCACGAGGATGCCTCCGGGCAGGGAAGGGAATGGCATCTTGATTCTTCCAACCCAGGGGTCCTTCCTGGACTTGCTGCCAGCCCGCCTGCTGCCCCTCTATCCACTGTCCTCCTGCAGAGCTGCACCAACTCAGCAGAATAGAAAGGCAAGACCCAGCCAGGACAGGACAAAGATGAAGTAGTGGCCATTCAAGGTCAGGCACGCTCCCCTAGGGCTGGGGAACTGGGATGGCAGGCACGGAAGAGGCTTCTCCAGCCATCTCCAAAGCCCTGCCTCATGCAGTGTTAGTGAGGCCCCCTCACATCTGCTGCCCCACGGTGAAAGGACTAGAATGAGTTCCAGCTGCGGTGCAGGTCCGCAGTCCCAGGCCAGCTCTGGAGAGGGCTTCTCGGGCCCTGCCAGATCTTCCACAAGGTACACGCTTTGCCCAGGGATTAAAACCAAACCACTCATAGGTGAAGCCAGTCAGACTCCTCTGTGGGGAAAAGGCACTGTCTATACAAACACCGACACTTATTCTTCCCCTGCTCTTCTGTGCATGTCACGCCTCAAAGCTGAAAGAAGTAATGTGCTTGGATGAGCCCCCACCCCACAAGAAAAGACCCCAAGTTGCCTGAGAAAAACTGCAGACTGTTGAGCAAAGCCAACTCACAACACAGCGGCGGTCTCTGCTCCTCCAGGGACCAGGGCCAGGTCTAGATGAGACATCACTGGGATGACTACCCCAGCCCCCAAAAAGCTCCAGCTCCTCCCTGGGCCAGGTGCACAGGGATCATGGTGAGGATGAAGCCCAAGAGGTTTCCAGAAAAAGGAGGCAGGGATACCAGGGGATGAGGCCTGGATGTGTCTGGAGCCAAGCAGGGCAGAGACTTGCCACACACAGGGAGAGAAGCCCAGGAGTGGGGGTCAGTGGGTCTATTCCCCAGGGGCATGGGGAGGGGGTAGGGCTGGACACCCTGGCTTGGACCCCTGATGCTGACTCACCCCCTCGGGCCCTGACACACGCTGCAGGTTGCAGTGGCTGCCAGGCCACTGCTTGCCACCAGGACGCCAGGCACGTCCTACTGCATCAGAGCTGCGTGCCCCCTCCCACCTGCCCCTCTGGCTCAGCCTGGGGGCATCCGGCAGGGCTATTTTTGCTGTTTTCCAGCGCCTCTGCTGACCAGAGATATTTCCAGCAGCCCAAAAGCTGGAGTTGGACTAAGCAGGGGAGGTGGCCGGAAGGACTAACGGCCATCCTGTTCCTCATTGTCGCCCCCCTGATGCGAGTGCCAGGTTAGCGAGAGCTGGAGAAGTGGCTCTGGACATCTATTACACTGAGATGCCCCCTCCAGGCAGCCAGGCTCTGGTCGGACTCCAGTCCACCTTCCGGCGGGGCCCCCAGACACTGAATTTCGTCCTCCTCAGCCCTACCCCATCCCAACGGGGGCTCCAGCCCAGCCAGCCTCGGCCTCTCCCCACTGCAGGGGCCCAGGGCCTCCTCTGTCCTTGCACCCCTTCTCTGCTGCCCCAGGGAGAGCATACTCCTCTATCTCCGCAGGGAGCTGGGGGGAGTGCAGAGGGAGAGCCAGGAGCACGGTGGGCTGGGGGCAGCCCAGGCACCTGTGGAATGAGGCCAGGAGGAGCCCCTGGGGGCGGGGGGATTGGGATAGGTCACCGCTCCCCTTGTAGTTAAAATGGAAACCCCTGTGCCCGAGACAAGTGGGAAAGGTAAATGGAGGAGTCCAGAGAGGGAAGTGGGGGTGTCCACACCTGGGGGCGCGGGCTGCTGCAGGGGCCGAGAGCCCTAGGTAGTGCTGAGTCATGAGATTTGGAGGAGGCAGGGGCGCGCCCGCCCCTAGCGCGCTGCTCCCCTGGACCTCGTTGCAGGCGGCGCCTTGTCCTCTGCTCTCCCGCCCCTCTCGGACCCGGGTCTGGGGCTCCCAGAGCTCCGCGGACCCTTCCCACTCCTCTCACGACGGCAGGGCCGGGGATCCCCGAGGCTTTAGGCGGGGGCAAAAAGCCTTCGCTGGGGTGTCCGGCGGCAGGGGAGGGGGCACGGCGCAGAGCCGGCAAAGGAAGGTGGCCCCCCTCCGCGTCGCAGCTCGGGCGGGGCGACCCAAAAGGACGCCGGCCCCGCCGGCCCCCCACGCCGACCTCCTCCGGACGCCCCGAACTCCCCCGAAGGACGCGCGGGCGCCCGGCCCCTCGGCCTCCAAGTTCCCGCCCTGCCCACCTCCCGGGCTCCGAGGCCCCGGCCCGTCTGGTCAGGGCCGGGAGGAGAAACTTTGCGGGGAGGTCGACCCGCGGCGCGGATGCGGACTCACCGAGCGCGGCTGCAGCGGGCGGGAGGTCCCGGTTCCCCAGGCGTCGAGCTGCGGGGTGCGCGGCGCTGGCCACGGCTCGCAGCGGCGTCCGGTCCCCGGGCGCGGAGTCCCCGCTCCGCCCCGGCCCCAACTCCGCGCGAAGTGCCTGTGCCGCAAGACTTGCTGAGCTTAGCAGTCTGCGCGAGGCGCGGAGGGAGGGGGCCTGATCGATGTGCGAGCGCGGCGGGCGCTGCAGTGCGGGGAGGAGCCCGGGGCGGCGCGGGAGGAGGCCGGGCTGGGCGGGGCGGGCCGGTGCGGGACGGAGCTCGCCAGCCCCGGCTCGGCGCCCCCACCTCCTGCTCAAGGTCACGGCCGCTGCTCCGGGTCAGGAAGAGCGGGACGGGGCCGCATCCTCCCACCCGAAGGACGGGCTGTGCGCCGGAGCCAGCTTCTCCCCGCCCTCCAGAACCCGCTGCAACCCGAGGCTCAATTATTGGGCTCAGAAACCTTGATAAGCATTTGGGGTCCTCGAACCCCTTTCTTCCTATCTTGCCCTAGTAAGGCGACCTCTACCTATACTGCTCACCGGGATGGTGGGGGGCTTCTGAGCTTAAAGACTTAGGATTCCTGGGGCAAGGTAAAGGTGCTTGAGGCCTTCGAAAATAGGGGTCCTTCCGGGGAGAGAAAGGGGAGAGTGCTGGAGGGAACTACGACCCGACCGGACTTTTGCTAACCGTGTGAGGCGTGCCTTTTAGGCTGGGAATTATGGTCAGTTTGCTAAATGGGGAAACAGCCTTGAAGGGTGCTGGGCCTAGGAGCTTAGACAGCGAGCGGTGCTGCTGAGGCAGAGCCTGGGGACACAGAATTGCAAGTTCAGCTCGAGCCGGGCCTTGAGGAACGGGCCGCCCCGGGCCAGGGAGGGGTTGGCGGGGGTCTGGGGTGGGGAGGGGTGCACCACAGAATACAGGGCACCGGGAGCTTTGCACACGTCAACGCTTTTGGAACCAACTTTTGTAATGGGGCAATAGCGTTCTGCCTCTCTCCTGGCTACCCAGCAGTATTCACCTGAGATCAGCCCTCCATACTTATTTGCTGCATGAGAAAATAAGAGATGAAATGAAGGCAAAGTGAGGGGTGCGAAGAGCAAGTGGGGTTTCAGGGTTGGGGGAGAGAACAGGCGGTGCGTGGTCTTTTCTCCGTAGCTTTGCCAATAATGCCAGCTAGGGTGCAGGGATCACCCCAGTCAGCTTGCTTCAAAGCAAAGGGGATGAAACCTCAGCGTCTGCAGATGGAGTCCTCTGGGGAGCCTAAATGAGGTCGAAGCCCACAGCCCCTTGGCAGCCGGCTTCTGTAGGGCAGCCACACAGGGCAGCAGAGGAGGTGGGGAGTCACGTTTGAATCTAGGAGGAAAGAGACAAGGCTCGGGACAGTCATCCTGCTGCTTTTCGCCTCAGAGAGGATGCCCAACCCCACTCCCAGCCAGGTGTGTGCCAGGACTTGTAGCCTCCCCACCGGGACAGGCACCACTCCTTTGGGTCCTCTCTGTCCCCTTTCTGACAGTGGGTATCTCCACTGACATTGTGCATCTTCACGGGGCCACAGCCCCCATGCTAACTGGCTAACACACTGTCCACGGCCAATCAGAGCCTGTGTCAAACTGGTGCCCCAAAATGTCTACTAAGCACGCCTGGGAACTTAAGATCAGAGGAAGCCAGCCTTCCTTTCCAGACTACTGGGAGAGTCAATGCTCCAATCAATTTGGTTAAATGAAAAATGTGCTGTCCCTGGCTACAGCCTTAATGTTCTTTTAATTCGTCAGGACCAGTAGTGTCTGAGTTATAAACCTAATCAGGACTCCAGCATCCCTTTTGCTTATTCCCCCAGGCTTCAGGAGCTGGAGGAATAAAGAATGGAAAAGGTATCCACCCCCTCCACACCCAGCTTATTATTAGACACTTCACTTTCAGCTGTTCATCGTTTTAAAAAGATGAGCCCTGAATAGTCTTAGACCACCACCATCTATCTACGGGCCTGAGGGCAATCCCTCTGCTGCCATACAAAGCCATTTTGAACCCTTGAATGGGTGTTTGTCTTTTGGTGGGAGTGTGAGATACAATCTCACTATGCAGCACAGGCTGGCGTCAAACTCTCAATCCTCCTACCTCCGCCTCCCAGAGCTGGGGTTACAGGTGTACACCCCCATACCCATCTGAGTATCTGCCTAACACTGAGAGTTATCCACAGAGAAAATCCACTGTCTACTGGATTACACTGTTTCACACTTTCTACTGAATAGTGCCCCTGTGCAGCTTCATTCTCTGGCTTTTCCTATGTAGGAGAGGGGAGAGCAGAGCAGCATCTCTTGCCGCCATAGCTGTCCAGGGGAAGGGTTAGAAGGAGCTGAAAGCCCTGTGCTCTCCCCACACCCCTTGTCCACTGCTTAAAGCATTGCACTTTTCTCCGTCCTTGCTCACAGGTCCACTGCATTCACACTTGGATGTGACACTTGGGTTGCTTCCCCTCCCTGTCTGTGAAAGTCTTAGACCGCACACAGCTTTTCAAAGCATCACTTGTTATTATAGCAAACAGAAAGGCCCAGCAGGAGGAGGACCTTCACCTCTGCAGCCCTGCCATCTCCACCTCTTCCCCACACACTCAGGAACCTGAAGTCTTCATCCTCTCACCCCTACATGCATCCATCTTGCTCTTCTGGATTGGTTCGTATTGTTCCTGACAATTAAGCCAGCGATGGGCGACTGGCCTCGCTCGGCAGCACACCTGCCTGCCTGACTGGAATTGCATAAATGGGTTTTTAAAACCCACATGCAATTCCTGTCACTGAAGGTCCAGATTTTTTTCTCTAATCTGATTTTGTAGACATACTAAGCCTAAATGTAAATTTTATTTGTTAATATATTCATACTAGAGTCCACTTAATTTTTAGATCTCTCATAAAAATGCTTTCAGTATGGAAAACATTAAATCATCAGATGGGGGATGAAACATGGATAAAATAAAGTTAAATATCATACAATCTACATGATATCTTGAGTTTTAGTTAAAAATAAAAATCCTGGCCTGAACTGCATAGCAAGACCGTCTCAAAAAGACATAATAAAATAAAAAGTAAAAATAAAAATCCTGGTCTCCTAACAGGTGGTGAAGGCCAGCCCTTCCTAAGAAGCTGATTTAGTGGACCATAATTATTCTCTGAGCAATGAACAAAAGAATAAAACAAATAAAATATTTCATGCAAATAAAATACTTAGATACAACCGAATGGGAAGGGCAGAGAAGGACTGTTCATCTGTAACTTCATATTTAGAAAAGGGAAGTGCCTTAAAGTTTTCAGGACCATAGTTGCATATAGAAGAAATTCACTAACTTGTAAACCACAGAATTTTATCAGATTCTAGAAATTAGAGAATATCATGAAGACTTCATCTTTTCACATTCTTCCAGCCCCTAATTTATCTGAAAGTAGAAACAGTTGTTCCCCTTCTCAGATTCAATAGGGTATAATCTAAATTACCAAAGCAGACTATTCCTTCCTCAAAAGCACACATCACACAGTACTATGCCCCGTGCAAGTTACACCGAGCCTTTGTTTTCACCCTTCTGGTAGAGGGAAAGGCTCTGCATTATTCTGTCCAGTGTTGCAGTTGTCTCCACAGCTACTCCCCTTGCGCCCTTTTGGTAGTCTACGGATGAGGAAGAGATGCTCTATGCAGGACAGTGTGTGCCTTCTGGAATGTGAATCGTTAATGGCCCAGAACTAGCAATCACCCAAAGACTATGTCTTTCCTTTCCAGAGGGCGAATGTGGTCTTTGAAGCTCCCTATCGAGAGGAGATAAAAAGGAAGTCAGTTGAAACACTTTCTGAATAATTAACCCTGGCACTTTAATATCCAGTGTCCATTAAAACCCTCTATAAATTGGGTTGATATCACAGAACTGCCCTTGGGATGAGCGTCAGCTGTGGGAGATGACCACTACACTCTCAGCAGAGGATGTTGGGGAAGGCACTGTCGGATCGATACTAGCCTTGTTTGGTGTCCCAGGCCTTCTGCCACCCTTCTCTGCACCACAGGAGCAAATGTAGAGCAAAGTCTCTGATGTTTCAGATTCATCCTGTGCCCACTGCCTATCAGTCGGTGATATTTTACCACCGAACTCGTAGGATATCATCTGTTAGGAACCCTGCTAAAAGCTGGCAATGTGGAGGGGACACTTTCGTACCTTAGGGAGCTCACAGCCTCCTCCAGGCAGGGCGTGAGATACTTGGATGTGCACCAATAGAGGGTAGAAGGGGCCACTGCAGCAAGAGCCTCAACTCAAGCTGGTGGAATGGCAGTCCTCCCTACCGGAGGAAACTTCCAACTGCCTCCAGAGGAAGGACCGGCGCTCCAGGGAGGAGTGAAAAGAAAGGCATGCTAGGCAGAGACCACAGCAGTAGGATAAAAATACACAGCGTGTGCATTGAAGAGCTTGAAGATTAGAGCCAGAACGGTCTGTGGCCTTGGACATAAGGCTTAACTTCTGCAAACCCTCAACCTCATTAGTTGAATGGAGACTTCAACACCTCCCCTGAGGGACTGTTGTGAAGACTGAATAACAATGTTTATAAACACTGAGCAGAGCCTTAACAAAAGGTATCTGCCATTACCATGGCCAGGGAGTGAAAACGACTGTGAGGCCTGTGTAAGGTATGCTGGGGAGGCAGAGGCAAGACCGGGCTAGATTCTCCAGACCAGCCACTTGGATTTTTTTTCCAGAGGCACTGGAACTCGTGTAAGGAGCCAAGTGCATGAGAAAATCAATTTATATTTGAGAAAAACCACTCACATCTGGAGCTAGGTTGGGGCCTGTACGGACTGTTCCCCTGCTGGCCTCTTGCAAAAGGTCACATAGTCTAGTGCTCACCAGTTTGGGTTCTTGAGTCACACTGCTTGGATTTGAATCTTAGCTCACATCTCAGAAGCCTGAGTCCTTGGCCAGGTTAGTGCCCTTTTGGGAGTGAGATGAGCTGAGGTAATCTAAGTACACAGCACAGCCTCTGATGCTTATTAAGTGCTCTTTAAGTGCGAGGCGTCACACTTTTACTCTGGCTTCAGGAGGCCAGCAAGTCTAGCAGTGTTGCCCATGTCATTTGCCTCAGAATGGCTGAATGACTTTCCAGAGGAAGCCCAGTGAGTCTAGATGTCATGAGATGGCTGTTCACTTCCTCATACTTGACTGCCTGAC